TTTGGTTTTGAAAATTTATCCGTTAAACCCCTAAATCCGCTAAATCGAGATCCGTTAAACCGAGATACACTGTGTATTGAATTCAAACTTGTGTTAAATTCGAAACCTGTATTGATTCAAAATTTCAAACTTGGATTATTAAAAAAAAAATTTTTATTGTTCTGTGTAATGGGAATTTGTGGATTTCATTTTTTGAAAATTCTATATTAAATTTCCTCTGCATTTTTGATAGCAAATTGATCGACAACACTCTCATTTATTCACTGATCATCAATTAATATTTTGTTTTTCAAATTTGCATAATGATCTTCAAGCCAACAAAATTTAATTTTTGCATGATATCTGGAAGGGAGATTGTCACAAAATTTAGCCAATGAAATCAAATGTCCACTATGCTCCGTTAACCAATGTAAAAAATTGGAGGGGCGGAAGGGGCGGGTCTCACGTTACACTACATATGTGTGACTAAAAATATGTGCAGAAAAAAATATTTTTTAACATTGTTTTATTATGCTTTACATTTTAAATATTACCCAAGAAAATATAATTTAATATTGTTTTGAATTAAGTATTTTGAGATGACTTCCTAACATAACTAATGATGTTTCTTTAATAATAATATCTTTTTTTGTAATTTTAATATTGTGCTTTGAACAATTATAATTATTATAAATAAATGTGATTTTTACTATATAGTTAGGGCGCTGACATATATTAGCTAATATCATTTTAATAGTAGTGCTTACTCCCCCACCCCAGGTAAGACATTTTGATCACGTGTATGACAATCATTTGCCTTTTTAGGTATCAACAAAGCACAAGCGAAAAAAAGAATTAATTGATGATCCGTGAATGAATGAGAGAATTTTTGTGTGATTGGCGGGGCAAAAATCTAAAAAAATCACCAATCAATAATGTTTAACAAACAATAAAGCACAACGTTTCTGTATTACAGTCAGGATTATTACCAAATATGGAATTTCTAAAAATTGTAATGATCGGCATTCTAGAAATTGAATGGAAAATTCT